TAGGTCTCATCTCCCAGACCAGACCATGATATGTTTTCTGTGTCTCCCAGAATCCTGTCTCAGGTTTGAGCATGGCAAAGAGAAAGGCTGCTTCTTTTCTGACCATCTGAACATTATTTGTAACTTGGTTCTATTCTGGGAATGTTCCTGGGTGAGATTAAATTCTGTATCTTTCTGATTCCAAATTCCATTAAAAACAGTAGCAATAACAAAAGACTGGCAAATTACATCTGAATCTATCAGCTATGTAAAATTCTTGCAAGGAATGTAATAATAAAAAAAGGCACTTATGTTGTTAGTGCTTGATTTTCCTTCAGGTTTTTAATTGGGAAAAGGTCAATGACAAGGCAAGATTGGGTCCTGGTGACCCAGGTGAAGAGCCCCCAATAGGAATTAGGGACCAAGGTTTATGTCCCAGCTCAGCCAATGAGTGCTGTGTGAATTTAAGCAAGTCGTTTGCACACTGATATTGCTCCTTCATCTTTAAGCTAAAGAGATTAGATCAGGATTCATATTCACAATTATTTGTGGGTCAGAGACCCCTCTGAGATTCTGCTGAAAACTATGAGCCTTTTTCCCCCAAAAAGCACAAATACAACTATAAATAGAATTCCAAAAGGGTCAGAGACTCTGTAAAATCCACCCACATATTCCCTAGAGGACTTTAGAATGATTTTTAAGGTCTAAAGTATGTGGTTGGGGAAAAAAAAAAGAATCCATTTACATTTGCTACTCCCAATGTGAATTAGTTTTTAAAATGTGGATTTGAGTCATTTATGTCATTAGAAGTCATAATTACTTTTTTTGTAATTTAAAGTACACATAGCAGAGCAAATTTTTCAGTAGAAAGAAGATCTCTTTTATGGATTAAAAGCATCTGAGGGTCAGCAAGATGGTCAGTCTCTCCTGTTACACAATGCAGGCCTCCTTCTACGACCCATCTCAGAAATAGACATTTAGTTTAGACTTGAATCCATATAGTGATGAAAGCTCACTCACATGTTTATTGCTGGGCAAAGAGTTTAAGAATTTTCTTTTCTTTATTGAGCTATAATCTGCCCTCACTACATAAATGTCCACTATTGACCCTATGTCTGCTCTCAGGAGCTACTTAGATAAATTTCAGTTCTTTTTCCAGTGTGTTAGGAATTCAATGGCAGCCTCTTGTCCTCTCTTACTTACCAGGCATTCCAGTTTCAAATACAATTGTTCTAGAAAAGCGATTTCATAAGACTACTTTTAATCTCAATTACCTTCTTCAGTGGAACCCTTGAAACAGAGAGCTCACAATCAGGCAGCATATTCCAGAAAAGTCTGTCAACCTATGGTTAGGGAGCATTCCTTAAACTACTGCCTGCTGTTAGGAATGCTCTGACACCACCAAGAGCCTAGTCTAAACAGGTGACTCTGCTGGGTCGTGTTGGAATTGTGATCACCTGAAGCCCTTAACTGTAATCAGTTGAGGCCCCACTCATTCTCTATTTCTTAGAGGCAAAGAAATCTTTCTAAAAACAAAACTCCGTGTTCAGCAGCACCTTACCCACGTCAGCCTCTTCCCTGCTCTTGGAAAGCTTTGGGAATACTAGTTTTATCATTCTTCATGCCATCTTTCCCTCCTGGTGTTATGTCATCTATAAATGTAAATAAGCCTGGATTTTTTTTCACTCCAAATTAATTGATAAACATATTGACCCATGGCTTGCCAAACATAAGCTTCCCTCTGTAGATTCATTATTCATAACTCTTCACTCAGTCACTTCACAACTTCATCCAACTCACTTATACCACCACCTGATCTAGAGAATGGAGAAGAGCAGGAGGATTATGTCCTGTTTCGAGCAACATTTGTTTCCTTTCCTTTTCTTCTTTTACTCAGTCTCGTTTCCTTTCCTCCAACTCTGTTTACTTCATTCCTTCATACTGCGTATCTTGGTCTTACCTTTGGTTCCTTTGCCTGTGTTCATTTGCTATGGAGAAGAGAACGCCTGTTGTGTTTTTTGAATCTCTTGGCTTTTTCTTGTGTACAGGGCTGGCTGAGTCTGTTTGCTCCAGGAGCTTTTTTGCTGTATGCTGTGCAGAGTCAGTCCTGTGCAGGCGAGGTGTTTCAATATATGCTTGTTAGCATTCCACAGAGGAGGAGGCTCTGAGGATTTTCTCAGGCCCCCAGACCAAGTCGTTTTCTTCCACCTTCAGAATTACCTTAATATTAAATGAAGGTTTAAAGAAAATGTAAATATAAAGTATCTGTGTGTTTGGGAAAAGGAGAAGGGCATGGGGAGACAGAAATTATTAGATAGTCCTCACAGACCTCACACAGACCTGTTAGTACTACTGCCTCCGTAACCAAACAAATATTACTCATAGGAAAAAAGACTCAAGACACAAGTTAACCAACTATCCGTTATTCAGTGGAAAGATGACATGAATGTAAATTGCTTTGAGAACCAAAGAATGTGTGGTTCTGTAGAGATGTTCATGTTATCAACTCCCATCTCACCAAATCTTTCACCTAGAAATAGTTAATGTCACTCACGGAAAAGGCTAAGAAACGTGTCTTCCGGGGTTTGCCCAAGTGAGTGATTTTACTTTTAAAAAGGCTTCCTTATATAACGCTATAACCATTATTGGGTGATAAAATAAATTAAAAGCAAGTAGGCCTACACTCAAGTAAGGGAAATGATGACTAATTATTTAGTAAGTTGGACTTTTTGGTTACCATATTTTCTTAATGTTTCAGCCCCTCATATAAATGAATCAATGTTGCCATTAAGTTACTATCTCTAATTTAAAGAAAGTTGTCTTAAACACAACTTTATTACTCTGCAGTTGCCTTGTGGGTGAAAGGGATGAGCTCTGGAGGTAACAGAACCTTTTCAGACTGGGAGAGACAATTTCAGCTTAGGAGAGTGAAATGTGGCTGAATGATTATTGTGCTTTAATATTCCAGAAGGAATCCCAACATTGTCTAAGCAAGGTTAATGGATACTGTAAACCTATAATAAATCCTAGAGAATGACAGGAAAATCTGTATCAGCATCCAGAAAAACTAAAGGTGAAAATGAGTTAGGGTCTCCTGAAAATGGAACTTTTATGCCTCATTCACTATTCATTTAGTCAGTCATCAGTGTACTGAGGAAATAGGATGTGTCATAACTTCTCTTAAAACTACACTGTCCTTATATCCCTGAACAAATCACTTACCTTCTTCGAGTCTAAATTTCACCATCCAGGCATTTCTTCATGGTGTTGTGAGGTTTAGAGACCAAGGTATATGAGACCCTAACAGAATAACTGATTGGATATTTATTGAATGAATGAATTCCCTTACCTTCTCCTTAACATTTAGACATCTCCCTCCCACCCTATAATTTATAATATATAAGATAAGCTCCATTTGTTAATAATAAATGTCCATCTACTGTTTTGGGTCAACAGGAATTTTGAGTGATCTGTATTTACAGATGAAATTAAAGTATTTAAATATTATTACAACTGATCAAATATTTTTGCAAGATAATCCACCAAGCCCAAGGATGTTGTTCTTTGCCAAACAGCATTCTGAGGCTTGCTGACTACAGTACATGCAAATCCACATTTTTTTTTTAGTTTTTTTTTTTTGTTTCATAACAAACATGAGCAGTGACTTCCTTTCATTTATCAATTCTAATCGAATATTTTTCAGTAATATTTAGAAAAATCTTATAAACCAATTTTCTAAAATATGAAATATGTATAAAATTTTTCACGTTAAGTAGCAATGCATGGAGTGTCTGCTGGTATGATGTTTTAACAGAACAGGACCCAAGTGAAACAGGAGGTAATTCTTAGATTTTGAGTGTATGGTTGTGGTAGTTGCCTTTTGGTTTATACTCCAAATTTGGGTTAATTTTGAAATCTTGAAAAAAAATATGCCACATACACCAAGTTATTTTTTAATTGTATCAGCCATTTATTCAATCAATATGGATGAGTACATACTGTTTGCCGGGCATTGTGTTTGAGACCCCAAACTGAAACTATATAATCTTGACATCAAGAAATTTGCTCTAATGAGAAAGATGTGTAAACAAATCAGTTCTGTATGGTAATTGATACAAGAGAAAATGATCCAAGAACAGTAGGGAAATATGAAAAAAGCCTAGCTAAGTCTGTGTAGGGAATTAGAGGAGCCTTTCCAGAGGAGGCAAGCTGAGGCAGCGGCATGAACAGGAGAATATCGGGTGGGTGAGTAGGAAGAGGCTATTTGGCAGTGAGAAGGAAATGAGAAGAGCATGGAGGCTTGAAGGAGCCGGGAATGATCAGGGAATGTGGAAGAGTAGGTTAGGGTCCTTAACTAGTAACTCATAAATTACTGTGAAAGGGGGAAGCAGGAAGGGCTGGGAAGGAATGAGGCCAAATAAGTAGGGAGAGGCCAGGATCTATAAGCCTGTGGAGCAGGCAGAGGTGTGCCAGTGTTTTGCCTCTCTGTGGGCTGTGGGGGAAGTTACTGGAGAATTTTGTATACAGAAGTTTCGTAATCAAATGAATATGTTCTGATTCCTGAAGGAGACTAACAATATCGTGATTCTTTTGTTGTTTACAAGTTATAGAAATGGCACACACACTCCTTTGTTCCTAGGGGTTTCTTCAATGGTTCTTGTTGTAATGGAATTCAGGGATGCCAAAAGAAATATTTGAACTAAATGATATATCAGAATTACAATAAGAGCCTGTGAGCGGATTTTTAGTTAACAGGTTTTTAATAGGCTGTGAGGCAATTCTTAATGGAGAAGATTTAATTATAAAGGAAGCCTGTCTCTAATGGAAATTTGGCTGGGTGTGTTTTGATTTTCTCAGTGAATTAAAAGGTTTATATAGGGTTAGATGGTTGAAATTCTTGTGGAAAACATGTATACACCAGCGAAAACTTTCCACTCATTTTCTTTATCTCTTGCAGCAAAGCAATGAATCTGCTAGAAATAAATTTCACTTAAATAGAGCATAATTTTTTATAATTTCAGGGGTTAAGCATCTGAAAGGCCAGAGTGAATCAGCATTCCCTGAAGAAGAAGAAGGTGTAAACGAGAGAGAGGAGCAGTGGGAACATTAATTACGGGTCTGCAGCAAGAAGGCTTCTTGGGAATAACTGAACTATTAACTTTTCTGACTATCCCATGGAAGGCCACTCCTTGACCTCCAGAAGCATTCTCCACCTCTGCTCTCCACACTCATACAATAGTAATACACCTCCTGGGAAGCTCTCCCTTGACTGAACTTTAGAACCAAGTACAGATTGTTCGATATTACAATTAAAGAATAAACATTTATTTTATGGTGATTTTTCTTTTTAATGACATTTGCATAGACATTTGCAAATATGTGAGTGTTCTAACTTTAATACTGCGGAGCTTAATCTCTCATGTCCTACTGATGTGGTCTGTCTTCTAAGGTCAAATGTAAATAGCTTCACTTTAAGAGTAAAAAATAAAAATTAAATACATTTAGACATGGTGTGTCTGGGTTTGACTTACAGAGGAAGTTTTTAAGGAATCTTTCAAGTTTCATTTATCACGTTTCTGTATATAGAACCGTATGTGGTATTTATTTCTGATGAAGAAATCCCCAGTTTCTTGATTCAAAAGATCATAATGTATTAGTCTTTAAGTATTGACCATCCTTTTTCCTCCAGCATGTTAATGGCTAAAGGACTGCAAAGGTCTCATTTTTCTGAGCTCTGAGAGATATATTTCCCAGCATTTCCACTAGCTATTAAGAAAAATGCTAAATCTAAAATAAAATATGCCAAAATCTCCCCTGCCGCTTTTTTGGTTATTACTTGAAATATGAGCTATTTCTTATTGCATTTTAAGGAATCATTAGTATTTTATAAATCTTCTATTATCGTCAAGTAAGAAATTCCATTAATTCATGGATATAGTCATTCATTAACTCAATAACTATTTTTAATGAGTTTATCTCCAGCAAATGATTTTGCTGGGGGTTATAAAAATAAAGAAAAGATAATTTCTTATCCTTAGAACTGATAGAAAAAAAAAATATATATATATATAAATATATATATTTTTTTCTATCAGTTCTGGAAAATCTTGCTTTATACTGATACTTTACTTTTTACATATATATATACATATATATATGTATATATATATATATATATACATACATATATATGTGTCTGTGTGTGTGTATTGAATAAGGCTTTTGTTTGTTCAAAGTTCTGGCTCCAGGACAACATTAATTATTTTTTAAAGATTTTTATTTACTTATTTATTTTAGAGAGAGCTCAGTGTGTGCGTGGGCAGGAGGAGAGATAGAGAGGGAGGGAGAATCTCAAACAGACTCTGTGGTGCACAGAGCCTGACACTGGGCTTAATCTCACAACCCTGAGATTCAGACTTGAGGGGAAACCAAGAGTCAGTCACTTAACTGACTGAGCCACCCAGGTGCCCCATTAATGATTTATGGCATTTCAAGGTAAAGTATCTGTGCCACAAAATTTAGTGAGGTTGGTGGAATGCCCCGTGTGGTTCCCACACTGATGATATTGGTGGGGTCAATGTTTCATGGATGAAAAAAAATGAAAAGATTTCTCAGGGGGCGCCTGGGTGGCTCAGTGGGTTAAAGCCTCTGCCTTCGGCTCGGGTCATGATCCCAGGGTCCTGGGATCGAGCCCCGCATCGGGCTCTCTGCTCAGCGGGGGGCCTGCTTCCTCCTCTCTCTCTGCCTGTCTCTCTACCTACTTGTGATCTCTATCTGTCAAATGAATAAATAAAAAAAAAATCTTTAAAAAAAAAAAAAAAGAAAAGATTTCTCAGAAGTCAATAAAGAGGGAAATTGAGATGGGAGGAAAAAATGTAAATGTAAAATCCACTGTGGGATCTCATGTCAAGATTCAAAGAAGTAAAACTGTTGTTTTTAATTCTGAATGCAAGTTTATAATACAGAGATTAAGAAATATGTGAATCTTTTAGACAATGCAATAGAGAGAACATTTTTCTTCATATATTTTCCCCAAGAAAATAAATGCAAAACTCATTGATAAGTAGTATCACCAAGTATGAATGAGTACTCTAGTTCTAAGTGTCTCTCCTCCTTGCTATCCTCCTTTCCTTTCTTCCTTCCTTCCTTCCTTCCCCACCCACCCCTATCCTTTTATGGGTTTTGTTGTTGTTGTTAAATCATTTCAATCAAAACTTTCGGGAGTTTCTAGACCACCTGCTGTGACTATTTGTTTGATTTCCTAAATTTCTTTCTACTTAAAACATGATTAAGACACAGATTTATTTTCATGATTTTGAATTATTTGTGGAAAACATTCTGGCGCTCCTTGAGACTATTTGAGATACCCCAAGGTGCTAGAAAATAAAATTTGCCCTTCCCTTTCCTTGAACACACTTTCAAAATGTGTTGCTAGTTTTTGTTTTTGTTTTTGTTTTTCAAAAGGATTCAGAAAAAATAAATCAAAGCTTTTGCTGATTTTGTAACATCATTTGGGTAAATAAGTAGCATGGCTTCTGAATTCTTCTCTTCTTATTAAAAACACAAAGATATAAAAATTAAAAGCATAAGTTTTCCTTAGGAAATGTTGGTTTCTTCCATTCTGTTCTCTACTCTCAAAACAGAGCTTGCAATTAAAAGCATAAGTTTTCCTTGGGAAATATGTTGGCTTTCTCAGAAATCTGAAGGAAGCCAGCTGAGATAATGGCTTTTCAGTTTCCTTTTCACACAGTTACAGTTTACAACAAATTTTTTTCAAGAAGACAACTTGGCTTCAGTTTGGCTGAATGGTCAAAGAAACTTTCTGAACAAAACAAAACAAAAACTTTATCTTTCCCAGACCACATTTATAGTATGATATAATGGCTAGTAGATGAGCTTTGAGTCACTCTGGCTTGGGTTCAAATTCAACCCCTATCAAATTTTAGACAGTTACTCCGTTTATAAAATGGGTACCATCATACCCACCCCTATGGATTATTGTGGAAATTAAATGAGATAAGACACGTTAAAATGCTTAGTCCAGCTTAGGGAGCAATTAGTATTTGGTGCCTATTGTTATTATCAAGGTGGGAAAGGACCCGATGCCGTCTATCCAAGCCTTACCCTACACATGATCCTCTTCAACATCACAGACCAGTGACCGATCCTCTTCCTTCTTGAGTAACTCCAGCTGAACCCCAAGCCCAACCAAAGAGCTCTAACTATTCTTCTCTGCGTGAAACTCTTTCTTCTGTACTTTACCTCCTTGATTACAGCCATTCAGCACTGTGATGTCTTCTCCTAAACGGCCTCATCTCTGATAAAACACCACTAGGTCCTTCCAACTTTTCTCATCATCTAGGCCACTTGCTGTTGGATCCTCTTTAATTGTGTGTACTGAATCTAAGAAAGGTTAAGTCAGGGAGATACACTCAGTTTTTTCCCTAATCTCCCTAACCATGAGAAACTGAAGCATAGACAGAAGCAGGGCAGAGCAGAATTCTAGGTCAGGATTCTTTCTATTAGGCAATAATATTGTAAGCTGTTTCTTTTCCCAGAGTTGGCCAGGGTAAGGTCTTTATAAAAAACAAAATGCTCAGACTTTTTCTGTTCTTAAAAAAGTTTCCACCATCCATTTTAAATTTTAATTCAATTATGCAATGTTTTCTACATTGTGGAAACAGATTATTTTAGGTTGGCAAGAGACAAATTACTTTTATTTTTATATTTATAAATACTGTCATAATACATATTAGAAAAGATACATAATCATGATTTTACTGCTATTGTTGCTTAGGATAAGGCAACCTTAATGTGTGAATATATTTTTAATCAATTTAAAGAAAAATATTAGAAAATATTAAAGAGAAATAGTAGAGATGGTACCTCAAAATCACTAAACAATATACAATTGAATGAAGTTTAGAAACGCTGGTTTTGGGTGTGGTCATAGCAAGTAAGTGTAAGTACTATAGAGTTCATTTAATTGCAATATGGATTTATGACTCTATAAATAAACCACTTACATTGCATTAATTTAAAAATTGTTTCTTTGCCCACATCTAACAGCTGTATAAGTGCAAACTGAATAATGAGAAAAATCATGTCTAATTATATCAAAGTGTTTATGCTCATAGTGATTTTGAATATTTGCTTTCTCTGAAAATGAAAAAGGAAGATATGCTCTTACTTTTCTTTTTTCTTTTTTAATTTTTTGCTCTTACTTTTCTAAGACCCTGATTCTAAAAACCAGTTTTCAAAGCTTCAGCAGATATATTAATTATTAAAAATATCTATGCTACAAAATGTGAAATCTGTTTAAAGAAATTAAATTATTAGATTTCAAATATCATAATATTCTGAAAAACTAAATATCAGAGGAAGAAGAGTTTTAGGAAAATGATGGAGGGCATCTTTGGCTTTAAGTGACATTGTAAGTAGTTAAGGTGCTAAAGTTTACAAACATCCCATGTGATTCATATAGCAATGGGGGTGAAGGTTTCTATTTTGCAATGTTGTATGAATTAAGTAATTTACATGAATGCACAGGTGTCTGACGGCATTTTGTAAAGAGGCTACCATTCAACTGTAGTACTTTTCTTGACATTTATATTGTGAATCCTCTTCATTCTATGGACAGACATTGGCTCAGCCACTTTCCTCATTGCATTTAAAACTTAGCTGATGCAGATAAAGAGACTTGGTGTGTAGAAGGCAGATGAACATGAGAGTAGAGAGAGAAGTAGGCAAAGGAGGGAACTCAAAGAAGCCTAGAAACTTGAGGTAAAAAATGGCATTAAATGGTATTAAAATGTATTGGATTTATCTTCATTTTTTGTTTCTCACTCTATACATGTGACCTTGCCTTTTTCCTGTTTTCTCTTACTTTTAGTAATAATGAGCCCAATTTGAAGGAATGAACACAGTAAACCCCAGGAGTATATGTCACTAGAATTAGAATCCTAGAAGCAGCAGAACGATTGGCAAATGATTCTTCATTATCATTCAGAACAAGCATTTGACAGCAAATAATAGAAACCCCAACAAACAGTAACATACAGGCTGAATTATGTCATACAATAAAATGTCCAGGACTAGAACTGTGGCTCA